CTATACCGATAATGAATTTATAGCTTTCATTTTATGGAGTTGAACACATAATAGCAAGAGATTTTACAAGATGAAAAATATTATGTATATTTATTTAGTATACTTCACAATATTTTCTGTTATTTAGTTAATATGTTTTGTTAGTAAAAGAAAATGAATCTTACCACTTGTCTCTATGCCTCCTGGCAAACCATCAAACGCTGGAGTGCCAGCATATATATATTGACAATCTTTGATGGGCTGAGCTCCTGGGCAGGTGGACCCCCTCCAGTCTGCTTTCTTGCCTTGCTTACGTCACTATGTGTCCTTTTCACTGAAGAGACAAGATGTCTCCATTTCTCACGGCACTCTGTAGCACTTCTCATTGATACAGCAACTGATGACACCTCTTTTGCTATGGTTTTCCACACTTCCACCTTGGCCTTGTTGTCCAAGGTGGAAGTGTGTTTGTTTCTTATTACTGTGTGGTTTTTTTCACACAGTTCAATTAACAGAGATCTCTCTACATGGCTCCAATTAGCTTTTCTTTGTCTTTTGCTTGTCAGTGTCAAAGCCGACTCCATCTTGCAAGACAGAGAAGCAGGCGACAGAACAAGGGTATTGTGGGTAATATATTTCCCAAATATGGTATAGATCACTTCTGTTGTTAGCAACTATCATGGCTTTTACAATGTTTATAGCAACCAATTGCATTATGGGAATGTCTTTTTCCAAATATGGTATTGGATAAAATTCTTATCCACTGGATAACTATCATGCTGTTTATCCAGCCTTTATGAAACACAAATTTATACAGAGGGTAACTATCCAGAGGATAAGAGATTTATACCTTGGATAGTGTTATCCATTGGATAGCCTATCCAGCCTTGATGAAACCGGGCCCTGTACATATTTCGTGAGATGGGAATATACTTTGCCGTCACCAGCTACCACTAGATAGTCCAGATCTTTTCCCACTTTGAAAGAAATATACAAATGGTCCAAAACAATAAGGACAGTTTCGAATTTATCTGTGTTTTCATCTAATAGCCCAAGATAAACAATTCTTGAAACCTCTGTCAGTTGAGGATACTTGTTTGCTAAATGATAACACAAAGGAAAGGGGGGGGGGGAGATCTGCATTCTTTCATTATAGATATAGCTATAACTGAGGCTTTCTTGCTTGAAATTGTTTCTGCTTCTGGCCACTTTGTCAGGAAGTCTGTTAGAACAATAATGTACCTGTTTCCTCTGGGCATTTTATTCAGTGGCCTGACTAAGTCCATTCTAAATCACATTTGAAAACATAAAAATAAAAACTTCCAACACCTCAGTAGTAAACCAGTGATGAGGAAAAATACCAGCTTGCGCTAAATAATTACTACTGATTGACAGAGAAAGAGTTCTTAAAATATAACTTGCCAATCCTGTTGGGAATAAAACCCCCATATTGTCCATATGGATCAGGGAACTTGTCTCTTATTGCCCACACAGAGCAAGATGGAATCACTCGTCTTTTGTAAGCTCACAAATGACCATGTACCCATAGCGTGAATTGTCTGTAGGCTTGGTATCTGTTTGCCTTAGTATTGTGTTCCTCGTCATCCAAAGCCAGCACATCTCTTCTGTATAGTCTTGCAAGATGCAAGTCTATTCCAAACTGGACAATGGTCTGGTTGGGGGGGGGGGGGGGGGGGGGGGAGTACAGGGCCTGGCTGTCCACTAGACCCAGGGATATTGTCATTTAGAATTTTTTCTGTGTCCAGTGCCAGTGATGGGTTTCTACAGCAGGGTCAGTTAGGACATCTTTTTCAACATTAATGTCACACTTGTCTGAAAATAAATGCCAAAATATTAGATAAGGTCCTAATTAAGATAAGTTGTTTAGAGGTCCACCTGTATTTTTTTATTTTAAAACCATGTAATGATTGTAAAACTACTCTTTTGATATAGTAATATATGTCACCTTTACTGATTGGATCTTAACCTCACATGGAAACATTACCAGTTTCCCCCTACAAAAACTCTCATACAAGTGTCTTCTCATCTGCTCTTGACTGAAAACAATGTCATACTGGTCAACCTTGTTATAGCTAAACACACAGCTGTTGCAATGGCAAATAGGCCACAATCCTGACCACCAACTTGTTTCTGTGGAGAATACGTCTCTTCATTCAGTGCACCATCAGCCCCATGACAGGAATTTGGAAGATGCAAGTCCTGGTGTATCACAAATGAATGAATGGATACCAATAAATAAACGTTTCCCATGACAGGGGAAACCTCCCTGAATTTGTTTCAATTCATCAATAAAATCATGAAAATATTCATTGATATCATTGGGCTTTGCTGTGCTTAAATATAATGCAGTGATAAAAGGCTTACTGTATTGGCTAGGAATATTTGCAATTCTCCCCATTATAGGCCAGAAATTGTGACTAGTACTCTTAAACAGAGGTAGCCCATCTACATTTATCTGGAGGCTAAGAACAAAATTGTCAGATATGCGCTAAATGTCTTGGATTTGGTGGCAAATGCTGTGAACAATCCCAGAATAAAAATATTCTCCACCACATTTACTTATAATGTCATATTGGGTAGTTGTTTTTTCTTTAATATACGTGGGTCCTTAGGCAAATGAAGATGGTAAAAATCTGTTAAATGACCAATGCTTATTTATGAAATTCAATGGTGTATATGATAACTTACATGTAGATTCAACAGTGGCCATGCAGGTATTTGTGGGAGGTAGAGGAAATGAAGACTTGTAGTCTTCTCTTGATTAAAAAAAAAATTATCCCACTATCTAAAAATCTGTGTGTTATCCTGGGTCAGTTCCATTTTACACTTTTCTAGGTCCTTCTTAAATTTTTTTTTGTGTCCATGAGGGTTCCATCTGGTTCAAGGACCTGTAATTGTGGTATTTCTTTATGTTCATATCCCTGTGTCATTCTTGGAGTTAGAGAGCCATACACAAGTTCTTTGCTGCTAAAACTTGCAGACACAACCCAACGTGATCCAACGTGATGAATGTGAATTCCAGCTGTAACTACAGGTTGCAGGCCTACCCAGGTAAAGCATACGGCTTGGTAAGGTGCAGTTACAACATTTAAAACGTTTTCAATAAAATGAGTATCAACTGTTTGTTAAAACATACAGTATTATCTCCTTCAAAGCGGTTGTCAGACTAGAAACACTATTAACTGACCAGGGTTTCTTCTCAGTCCAAAACAAGCTAGGAGATTATCCCAAGCACTTCTGCGTGCCTACAAATCAAGAAAATAAAAATGCTAAATATTTTGTACCAAAATGCAAGGTAAAATACCTGGGTTGCATCCCTAAACCAGAGGCCAAGAGAACTGTATCTTATTCAGTTGACGTGCATCTTATGCCAAACGCTCTCCTTGGTCAATTCACTGCATGAAAATTTGGCTTTTGTATTTCCTGAAAGTTGATTAAAAGGCCCTCTTTTATCCATCTTTCTACACCTTTCTTGGACCTTTTGAATTTTTAGGAAATATGTAAAAGATAATCTTCTGAATGGCTATTATACAGAGAAAAAGATGTACAAATGGCCCCCTTTTCTTCTTTTTTTATACACAAAAGGTTAACTTCTATATGCCTTTTGCGACAAAATTTATCTTTTGTTTGACAAAAAAGGCATTATAAAGATCAACATTCTTAAGACTTTTGCATGAAATGTTTAATCTCTTTTTATAAACCATGACCCAGCAGGCACACAACGTTGAATCAACGTTGATTTACAACGTTGAATCAACATTGAATTTATATTTGAAAATGGAAATTTGTGTCAACGTTGAAAAGTCAACATTGAATCAACATTGAAAAGTCAACGTTGAATTATGATTGATAGTTCAACATTGTTTCAACATTAGAAATCTCAACGCTGATTATATGTTGATTTAGCATTGATTATATGTTGATTTAGCATTGATTAACTGTTAAATAAAAGTTAAGACAAATAGCATTTTCAATGTCTTTATTTTGTCACTGCATAAAAGGAAAAATGCTGGTAATTTAAGTAGTTAAAATATACATAGTTTACAACATTGCGATAATAAATAAAAAAGTAAGAACAACACTTTTTTTACAAAACAAAGCTGCTCATCGAATCTGAACTAACACAAAAATTGTAATTAATTATGCATGTACATTGGGGCGGGGGGGGGAGATATTTTTTGCACACCGTAACCTAAANATTAGCATTTAATTTTGCCATTTTTAGACAAGGGTGCATTGCAATGAGTGCCACACCCAGACCCCAATACCGACAAAGCCCAAATTTTACGTGGAACGAGTTGAGATTATGGGTGACCTAAATCCATGAGATGGGTACGGGGGCCCTTACCGTCTAGGAGGAGAAGCGGTAACGGTAGCCGTCCGGCGGAGCCGGCGGAACGATCCGGACAGGACCGAAACCATGTGTACCGCCAGCGCTAACGCTGGTGGTACAATAATCATAATCGCTATAATTCTGTAATAAATAAATCTTGAATAATGAATGAAAAAACATTGTTTTTTAGATGACGGAGAGTTCATTATAACAAAATTATAAATAATTAACCATGCAGTAATTAACTGTTTCAATTCAACTTGCATGCTGTCTACAAACTCTGAAAAAATAATTATGTATGGTACCCCAGCATAAAACCTCATGTCTCATATCAAACCCCATGTCCCTTTCACTACTACAAATTCAAAAAAGGGCTATGGAAGTTAAATGTCAAGCAACATATCTTGTCAAAACACTGTATACAGTACGTATGACAACAGAACCAAATTGTAGAGTGAGTGAGTTACTGGCTGCGATCGGAGCAGATTCTTACATCTTGACGCATGTGCAGTTAAGTTAGAGAGATAGAAATGGCTGTCGTGGTTGCTTTGATAAATGTTTGTCGACTTTTGTGCAACAAGACGTAGAAGATGAGGTGCTTATACACACGACAGATATGAGTGCAATCTGATGAACTCTACAGTTTAGAGATATAACTGTAAGCATTCTAGCAACGTCCTTCACAAAAATAATAGTTCAACTTCCCAATTGCTACTTTCTTCCTCCTCCATCTTTTCTTTCTGGTGCCCATTTTAGATACAATGCTGTCAGAGACTTCCTTTTCTGTAGATCTATATTTTGACATCATGACATCTGGAAAAAAAAGTGAAGTAGAAATGTAAGCATTTATGTATCGAACGTATGCTGGCAGGTGTGCCTATCATAGCTCATTGAGGGATTCTAAGAATGAGGTTAAGATTGGGTGTTAAATTCCAACTAGGGTGCAAAATGTAAGAACTATTTTTTTAGGCTTAGCTGCCCAAATTGTAGCTGATAGAAAGCTGATAAGTTTATTACAAAAATCAAATCGGGCACAAATTACAGCAGTAAATGTAAAACACAATGCAACATTAATTTAATTACCTTTGATCACCCTACAAAAGTTGGTGTGCCCAAAAGGAAATTTATTTTTCTTTCCTGAGAAATTCATTGTAGACATGATTCTGTTTGTCATACACCTACAAATAATATTTATAAAATAAAGGATATATTGAATAAAATCAGAAATGTCTTGATTTGATCAAGAAAAGTCCAAAAAATTGGAATAATAACCTGCACTTATTTTTAAAATTCTGATAAAAAGGTTTTTACTGCCAAACAAACCAGTATAACGTAGCTATACACATGTGTAGGTTCGACTTTTTAATGTAATTAATTTACTAACATGGACAGAAATGTGTCAAGTGTAAAAGTGTTAGTTATCATTTCATAAAGGTTTGATCATTTCTTATACCCGAGTTCTAGGTTTCAGATAATGAAATGTATTTTACACATTAAACACAGGAAAAAATTAAGTAAATGCATATATATTAGTATTTGTCCTACCTTTGCATGGCCTTCTTAGTGTGATCACACATGTTAATCCCTCCTATTGCAGCAACTGTGGCTTTCTATCAAATGGAAAAAATAAATGTCATTATCATAAAAATAATAACTAGTTTTTGTAATTATATTATTGAAACTGTGTGACAAAACTTGCAAATATACAGGCATCAAACAGCAAAACATGCTTTTTTTTTGGTAATTTTAGGTACTGATGTTATATATGAAATGCCCACAGTCACAAGATGGACAGAGACATACATATGTAACATTGATCCATATTGCATGAACTAATAAAAAAGGGAAAAAATCTTCATATTTGAGTTTTGAAAGAGTAAATCTTTTAAATTTTTAGCTACATGTACTTGTTTGAAATAATTGAATCAAATGAAAAACCATAAGTACTAGCATGAAGTTCACTGATTATGTTGCCATTTTCTGCCTAAAATTAACTGAAATGTGATGAACTTTAACTGTTATAAGTATGTACACAAATAAGCATTTGTGAGGCTAATTTTCAAAATAAAAAATGCATCTTCCTCTCACAGATTTGGCTTGTTGGATCAAATCAGTACAACACAAAGACGGTGGTGATTATTATTAAAGCAAGTGAAGAATGATTCAATTCGGTGAAAGATTTAAGTAGTTTTCAAGTTGTAGTTATACTGATCCTGATGTTACTCCATATCATTCTCATCATTTTTATCAAGTCCACCTGATCAATGATACATAACAATGACAATGATCAATGATACATAGCATGGACATAATTTGAACAGAAAAGTAGTATACTTACACAAATATCATATTCTTCTCTGTCCTTCAATGCATTATCAAATTCACTGAAGGAATCCATGGTATCATGTTGTTGCATTTGCATTGTTCTCATCTCTGTGTTGTTATTAGATTGATTTTTCTTCATTAGATCTCTTATTTCTGCTAATATGTATAATACTCTTCTCTGAAAACCTGTGGAAAAAATTTACACTACATATACAAAAAAGACAATTGAGGAATTAACAAATTTGTCCTCATCCTATGTTACAGGGTACAATTAGGCACTGAAACTTACATAAAATTTTTCCTTAGGTAAATTGCTATTTTTGCCCTTTCTAGTCATTGCCTGTCTCAAATATTCATTCAAATTCACCCTATTGCAAAGTCTCCATAAGTAAGTGTTTAAATTTTGACTTAACAAAATGAAAATTAGTGTCAAAGAAAGAACCTGTGCATTATGTTAAGATTAGTTTCATATTCCCTAATTATTATATCAAGTTCTATATATGGCATTAACCTAATTCTAACATTTGAGAATGATAAATGACAACTTCATGTATGCCTTCTGCAAAAAAAAAAAAGAAAAAAAAGGTTCACTCTTGGGGGTTGACATATACAGATTTTGTCATGAAATTGAAAAAAAAAAGTACATACGCTCTTCGGACATTGGAAATGTCGATCTCCTTGGTATTGGGCTACTTCTGCTATGATGACCCCCTCGACTCATACTCATGCTTCTCTGAGCCATGCGGTCACTGCTTCTGCTACGTCTACCAACACGGTCCCTGCTTCTGCTACGTCTACCAACATGGTCCCTGCTTCTGCTACATCTACCAACACGGTCACTGCTTCTGCTACATCTACCAACACGGTCACTGCTTCTGCTACGTCTACCAACACGGTCCCTGCTTCTGCTACGTCTACCAACACGGTCACTGCTTCTGCTACGTCTACCAACACGGTCACTGCTTCTGCTACGTCTACCAAACCGGTCCCTGCTTCTGCTACGTCTACCAACACGGTCACTGCTTCTGCTACGTCTACCAACAGGCACGCTCCTGTCAGGGGGCGTTGGGCTCCTTGGTGGTGGGCTTATTGTTCTAGGAGGAACCCTTCTGTCCATGTTAGCTGCCTCTAAAATGCCAATATACATTACGAGGCATCAGTTTTTCTATCTTTTACCTTTGGCAAAAATGTTAAAAAGATGGTGCTTCTTAACATTGCATACTGAATTTCTTATTAAGCAATTTCTTATTAGCACTCTTACCGCTACTACTGCCCCCCGTGGTGAATTCTGATCCAAAGGTTTTTTTCTTGGGGATTCTCTTCCTAAAAACTCCTAAGTCTTCTTCATCAGTATCTTCTGTGCAGGTAATGTTAACTGTCTCGCAATCTTTCTTGTTGTCTGTATAATTAAAATATATTATTATCATATCTTTTGTTCCATCTTATGCATGTATCTAACGTAACTTTCTGCTTTGGTCAAGCAATCTTATTTATAAAAATGAAAAGTGCAGTATTATTTTACAGTATTGAAAATATTCTGAATTCATAGTCAATGTAGACTAGCTACAGGCATAGGCAGGAGAGAGAAATCTGCTCATTAACATGTCCCTTTGCCAATGGATAATTCCAAAACCCTGCATACATGTAGTATACTACCTTTACTAATTAATATTGCCAGGTATGAAATGTAATAACTCTGCAATTTTCTTAATATTAAAGACGGAGAAAATTTTCAAATGGCACAAACTAGATCTTTTGCAAACATAAATGATATTGTTTATGAAGCTAAAGCATTAGTAGTGTGTGAAGATTAAACAGAATTCTGTACTGACCAGATGATTTCTTTACCCGCACGAGAGGGTACTTGATCCAAGTATTTTCAGGTACCCATCTTTCTGTAATTGCTCTCATGGCACCAAGGTTAGTAACGTTAGGCGGCCACAGTACCGCATCATCCACCACCCAGTGGGAAGGGATAACCTCCTCTACCTCCACATTGTCCTCCTCCCAAATAACTCTACTCCACATCTGTAATANCTCGTCAAGGGCACCCGTCGCTTCTCTGTGCTGGTTGCGAGTGAAGAAAAAGAGCAGACGATTGCGCTGCGTGCATCACGGTCAAAAAGTTTTTTTTCAGTTTCTTGTTCTAGTCACGATGAGCGCGTCGTTGAGATCTATCAAAACTTTGCTATGAAACAGTTTGTGGTCGAGTTTTGTAATTTAATGATGAAATAATCAGTTATCGCCTGATAGTGACGCGCGAATTTGATATATTTTGGCGGTTTTTTTTGTTGCTTGTGCCGAAAGCTTTCCCATCATGCTTTAGTAGTAAACAAAAATGGCGGTTCTGAAAAAGGTCGTCTGCAGATGTGGCCCTCTTAGATGTTGATTGTCAACGGAGAAAAAGTGAAATGTTTCAAAGGATATCCGCATTGTAGGTGATATGAGTGTTTGGAACATTTGTTGGCCACTATTGAGCAGACTGTTTGGATATTGGCACTAGTTTAGTACAGCAATGTGACGGCTGCAATGTTCGGTCACAGAAATGCATAGACACTGATCATGGAGATTTATAGGAAAAGATGCACTTTATTGATAATGTTTATTATGTAACTATCTATGAAGTCTGATCTTGGTGTAGTTTGTTGATAACTAGTCGCAGTAGTCACTTAGCAACTTGTATTGAATACAGTAATAATTGTACAAATGTGGTAATATTATAATAAAATTAACTAGGTTCATACGTAGTCCAGTTAAGTTTGTTGGAAATGGCTCAAATAATTTGTACAGAAGATTTTCTGAAGACTCGCTTAGTGAGTAAGTACTGTATGAATGAAATGCAAATATTGTAAAAGTTAACTAAGTAGCAGAGGATATTGTCATGTGAAACTTAAATGTCATTGCCACTTATTTGTTCAATAATAAAATTTAAAAAGAACTTCATGCAGGCTTATTTTTAACTACACCGTGTTTTGAAATACTGGGAAAAGTGTATTGATCATACATTTCTGTCAGGAGCAGTGTAAATTTAGAAATTCTGTAGTGTACATAGCTGTACAAAGACATTTTCATGACTTGACAATGATTAATCAACATAGACATGTTTTGACATGTAATTTATTTTTTAAAAATTATATGATACCTTGTTGGCGTAAATTTTTCAAAATATACATTTGAATTGCAGACTATTAACTACATGTAATATTTAAATGTTAAAATTGCAATATTTCCTGAGAATTTTTTTTTTTTTTTTTTTTTTTGCTGATATATAAAAAGGTGCTAAAGGGAAATTGTAAACTAGTGTCTACAAGTCTTTCAAAAGTTACATACCGTATAAAAAATACTTCGCTATTAAAAAATGAAAAGAATGTACATCAATGGAAATGTCTGCTTTTATTTCACAATAAAATATTGTATGATGTACAGTTACATAAAGAAAAGATAAAGTAAAAAACAAGATCACAGTATTGTAGGCAGGATTAATGGGAAAAAATCCAAGGAAACAGAAGTAAACTTCTATTATTTCTGAGAAGAATCTTTTTGCAAATAAAATATATTATTCAAAAAGAAAACTGGTCATTTAGTAAAGGGTCGCTGGATAAAAATTAAATTTCAATCTGCTTTAGAAATTTGTAAAAAAAATTTCATTAATCTAAATAGTGAAGTAATCATGCATGTAGCTGTTGTAAATTAACTTGAATGATGGATTCCTTCATGTATCCTCTCTAATATATATATATATATATATATATATATATATATATATATATATATATATATATATCATGAGGTGCCTTCAATTTAACTTGCATGTTGGCTTTTCTGGAAAGAAAAAAAAAGATTTAGATGTATTTAAAAAAGAGAATTCTAGATATGCAAAAATATTTGTGCACAATATCTTACTTACATTATGTAAATAGACTTTCAGTAACTGTTGTAAACTTATATGTTGGCTTCTCTGAAGAAAATACATATAAATGTATTTAAAAAAGAGAATTCTGGGTATACAAAAATATATCAGTGGATATAAGAATATGAAGAACACATGCACACACACACACACATACATTTTTTAGATAGAGAGAGGGACAACTCTTCCATTATAACTAATTTAAATGTCAGTTCAATATGATTGAATCAATGTTGAATCTAAGTGAAAAACTTACTCAAACATCAACATTCAAAAATGCAAGTTGAATTAAAGTTGAAATATTGTTGGTTTATCAACTCAATCTTACTTCAAACTTGAATCAATGTTGATATGCGAACTTTGAATTTGTTGTCGTTGAATCAAAGTTGAATCAATGTTGAAATGTCAACGTTGAATTTGTTGTCGTTGAATCAACGTTGAATCAACGTTGAAATGCCAATGTTGAATTTGTTGTCGTTGAATCAATGTTGAATCAATGTTGAAATGCCAACGTTGAATTTGTTGTCGTTGAATCAACGTTGAAATGTCAACGTTGAATTATGGTCGTTGAATCAACATTGATTCAACGTTTATCAACGTCTCAACATAAATTCAACATTGATTCAACGTTGAATCAACGTTGTGTGCCTGCTGGGATGCTTTTATATTTTCAAGAAAGTTGGGAACATCTAATTTAAAACATTTTATTATGTACCAGTTGACAGTATTTCATAAAAAAGTGTGAATAAATTGTGAGTCACAAAGCTGCTTTTCAGTTACAGTATCCAACAAACATTAAATATTTCAGTAGGTGAGAAAGCGCGTAACCATATGCTAAAGCTGCCGGTAGTAGCAATACCCAGTGCGAGTGTCTTGGGGACTGCGAATGTGTAACACGAGGAAACGTTAGCACTTACGTACGCTACTTACCTTTCACTACCAGGCATTTTGGATTCCCGGCCACCTTCCTACATGTATTTGAAAACTGCCCATAGTGAATATAACTCGCTTACCTGTTAAGGTTCTCTAAACATGGTCTATCTTCACCCATGATTTGTGTTTGTTTACATCTCGAATCTGACCAGAGACACCGCGTTATTTCAAACTGGGCCAATTAAGATGGCTTACAGACGGGGCGTGGCAGCTGCAGACGGTGATTATTATTATTATTATTATTTGCGATATTAAGGCACAATATTAGCACTTTCACATAAATGTGATTTATTCTGAAATGAGAGGCCTATATATAAGTACCGGTAGCTATGGGCAAATGGCTTGGATAATATCAGTTTATTTTGTAATACGTTTATATGCACACATCATGAAAACAATTGACAAATAATTTCCCATTGAAATGCCTGCAAAACTGTATGAATAAATAATTTGGTGAAATATTTCATAACCCTATGGACAGCAGACTCACTGACATAACTGCCAATGACACAAAAATATACTGTCAAAATGTTACCGGTACTTTTCATAACGTCATGCAGTACTTGAACACGTGCACACCCCTTGTGTGTAAACAAACCACTGCACTGCTCAAAGTCGGAAGCTCCCTCCGCCAGCGGTCTCACACGGCACAGTACCTGTGCCTGGTCCTGCAAAAAAATTGATGCCTCAATTGACGCCCCAGCCTGCTCCTTGATATCAAAATTAAACCTAACAACACTAAAAAATACCAGAAAAAAAAAAAAAAAAAAAAAAACGGGAAAAATCACTAATTTTTTTCACAGCACTTCATTCGTTTATAACAATACGTGATTAGCCAGATAGGGTTGAAAAAATTTTTTTCTTCATTATTGTGATCAGANGCTCTTTTCAATGTCTACAATACGCTTTGCTATTTGAGCTATCGGATTCTGTGCTTTTCTAACACTTCTTTTTAATTTTTGGAGGTAATTTTCATAGGGGAAGGCACATAGCTCATTTAAAGAGATCCCATAGTGTTGAACATCATCGGCTATGTGAAGTAATGAGTGAACATTATATGTCAAAAAAGCCTCTCCATATATCAGTTTTGACTTTTGGACAAAATATTTCAACAGTTCTCGTGCATAGACTAAATGGTCATTACGGAATTTTTCATCGCCTTCTAGAAGTACTGACATTGCGACAGACAGAGATAGAAAATGTTCATAAATGACCTCAGGCACAACTGTATGTAATACCAAAGGCCCTGTATACAGTAGAAATTGTCTGAATTCTGTGGCTTTCCATCTATCAATATAGTACAGTGACCGAGGTTGTCTAACAAATTCTCTTGGTAGTTTTCCATTCAGGGCTGTCAACTGGTCTGAAAGCATCTGTAAGTGCCTATGTGAAAGTCTGCATTCTCTTGGGCCACATTTAAGAAATGTTAAGATACGCTTGACTATGCCTAGGCATACCAAGTGCATGTAGTCCAGAGGAAAACATTTTATGCATGAAATACCGGCATCAATCAAAGGTGATTTTTCATTCTGATGGTCCTTGTAATCCAAACAATTAAACTGTGCATCTGACCTTAAGGCGGGTGTAGCATCATCATCATCAATAATAAAAACAACACGTCCATTCCATTTGCCTTTGATCAGACATCTTTCACATGCGTGATATGCATTATGCCCTTTGATGCATTTTAAAAATGCTCTGGCAGGAGCATCGCATATAAATGCATAAACTGACACTGTCATTATAGCATCCCCAACTGTTATGCCATTCTGGGTTAAATCATTCAACTCGTTCAATAAGTCTGCCAAATAGTCATGCACTGAGATCGGTTTTGATGTACCACAATATAATGCTACTACAAACGGTTCAAAATCTTTAATACTGCACAATATTGGCCACATCTGTGTGTTTGAGCTCTTAAATAGAGGGACCCCGTCAACATTGAATGTCAAAATGATGTCATTTACATCTTTAAAGTACACCGGATGAGTTGAAACCACTTTAAGAATCCCACTCCTAATTCCTAAATACAGATAATCACCGCCACATTTTTGCATGTTATTGATGGATCGAGGAGTTTGCAGAAGTGTGCGCGCATCACAAGGAACCCTTAGGCCCTGTTTTCTAAGTATAGCTAGTAGTTCATTGATTGCAGAGCGAGTACGCCCATTCTTAGTGGCCCACT